TAAGGTTCGTATCCACAGGGAAAAGAATACTTTTCTTTTAATTAAATAGAAATAACAAATGGGGGGTTTTGATTGTTGTTGAACTTGAAGTAAATTTAAACACTAAGATGAACGACTTATGTGGTCTACTTTAATAGAGATGAAGACTTGGTTTTGCTTTTATTCACTTAATGAAATGTTCGTCGATCCCGGTTATATCTTTAACTATCTTCCTCTCGAGTACTCAATCAAGGAGTATATCCAGTTCATCGAGGGTAGTTATTAGTAACGAGATGCGTTCATTAATAAAACAATATAGAACACGCGCCGTATATCAACCCGATAGTAGCAATAAAATCAAGATGAAAGCGATTGAGATTGATAACCTCAACACAAGCGGTTTATTGGTTTAATCAACATAATTAATTCCCCTTAGATTATTAACCATGAGACACATGCATTAATAATCCAAATTTACTACCGTGAATGAACCGAATTAATAACAAGCGTATTAATCGATTGATTCTAGTAATAATTAATATATGAAATAAAACTAGTTGATCCTTTAAGTAATGTTCAAAATATTAATATGGAATATGAATAGGAATTAATTAATACTCAAGGAAGAATATTAAAAAAGATGAATCCTACCATAGTTAATATCAAGATGTTAACTAATTGTCATCTTAGTAACACTCCCCAATATTAACATAGAGAAAGAAATAACTGTTACTATAACTAATGTCAAGATGTTAACTAATTGTCATCTTAGTAACACTCCCCAACATTGATATAGAAATAGTATTTAAAGGAAGAATGAATATTCAAGGAAGAAAATTAAAGAGAACAACTCACAACTTACAAATTCATTAAGCTTCAAAGTAGCAAAACCAAGATGGAAGAGTTTAGCTCCTCATTTGGAGACTAAACATGATGAAAATATAAAGAAAGAACTATTCTAGACTGAGCTTAGAAGTATAAAGGAATTGGTGTTTTATTGCGAAGGAAAGGAGGTGTATTTATAGGCTTTTTGGGATGCAACTCGGGTACCTGATCGGGTATATACACGGTACCCGACCGGGTATGTGTAATACTTCAGTTTCGAGGTATACTCGATCGATTAAGGAGTAAATTCTATAAGCATACCCGATCGAGTATATTCTTGTGCCCGATCGAGTATGCCTAAAACCTCAGATCCGAGGTATACTCGATCGATTTCAGGTTTAATTCAGAAGAGATACCCGATCGGGTGTGTCAGTGTACCCGATCGGGTATATACACTCGATCGTGGTCAAAATCTTCCCTGCATGTTCCTTTGTCTTCGGATCCGATTTGAAATTTCAACAAGATACCCGATCGAGTATAGGTCATACCCGACCGGGTATAGACCAAAAAATCAGGATCTTCTTTTTGTCTTGTGATTTTGCACCTTCCTTCCACTTTTGGGGTTCACCAACTGTCCTTTGAGTGATCAAGACCTGTTTGAGCTCAGAATAAATCTAATCTAAACAATTTACAAGTATTTAACAAACTAAACTATTACACCAAAAGTGTGTAATTTCAAAGCAAAAATCAATCAAAACTAATTAAAAACACAAACATACATATGGAAATTACAAACGTATCAACTCCCCCACACATAGTTCTTTACTCGACCTCGAGTAAAGTAAAATGTTTCTAAATGGTCAAAGAGTTTTTCCATGAGTTTAAGTAAGAAAGAACATAAAAACCACCAAGGAATTACAAATGTTTTTACAAATAAGACATTCTTCTTGGGTTTTTGGTTTTCTATGCTCCCGCTTTCTGCCTCTTCTTCTTCTTCGTGAGTCTTCTCATTCTCCAAAGAGATCAAATGAGTGCCTGCAAAAACAAATATTTCTCTCATATCTCTCATTTTCCCTAGGAGCCTTTTCAGGTTTTCATCCTAGCATCTCTTTTCATTTTCCATTCTCCCTAACTCACTCATTTTTTATAAGCCCCTTTTGCTTAGATTGCCCATTTTTTGGGTTTTCAACCTAATTAGCATTTCTTTTCTTTTATTTATTCCTTTTTTTGTGTGTATCAAGGGTAAAAGAAATTCATGCGTAGTGAAAGGTAAGAAATAAAATTACATACCATGAGAAGTCTCTCCCCCACACATAGTCCAAGCACTGTCCCTAGTGCCCGCCTTCGCTGCCGTAGTAGCTGCCTCCGAATCCGCTCCCGTGCCCGCCATCTCCGCCATGTCCTCCATCATACCCTCCACCCCCGGAGCTAGATCCTCCAAAGTTACTCCAATGAGTGGGGTCATACCAAGAGGGTGGTGGGGGAGGGTTTGCCATAGTTTGAAAGGAGCCTTGATGGGCTATGTAGGAGTACATAGGTCCATGTAGTCTACGTTGGTCCTCCTCATAGCAGTGGTTGTCGGCTTCCCGGAGCTCTTCCATCCGCTGAAAACCCGCTCTTTGTTCCTCTTGAACTTGGGTGAGCCGTTCTCCCATGGCTGCGTAACTGGAACTCATTTGGTTGTACCCGGCAAGTAATTGTTGTTGACCCTCCAAAAGTTATTGGAAATAGTTGGGTGGTGGAGGGTCGTGGGGCTGCTCGGGGATATCCGCGTCCATGTCCTCGTTATCATGTGGTGCGACGTGAGGCTCATCCTCGGGATGATCGTGTTGAGGGTTTTGGAGATGTGGTGGAAGGGCGTGTGGGAATAGGTAGTGGGGCACGTCTACCTTATACAAAAGCTTGGGGAGGTCTGGGTTAGGCATGAGGAAATGTATGATAGGTTTTGGGTGTATGAGCCAATTGTACATATTTCTTGGTTGTTCACCGCCATACACCGTGTGGGAAAAAGCTATGCATCCTGAGTGGCCTAACCAAGCCATATTCGTCAAACAATAGTCGGGTATAGGGGAGTTATCCGTATACCCAAACTTTTTCACTAAATGCATGATCACCCCACCCACAACAATCGCCCCTTTCGCCATGCTTTCTTTTTTCAAATGTGCCCACATTAAATTGCACAGATTAAAATCCACATGGCTACGGAATAAAGCTACAGACATCAAGCACACATCCCAAGATGGAAGAGTTTAGCTCCTCATTTGGAGACTAAACATGATGAAAATATAAAGAAAGAACTATTCTATACTGAGCTTAGAAGTATAAAGGAATTGGTGTTTTATTGTGAAGGAAAGGAGGTATATTTATAGGCTTTTTAGGATGCAACTCGGGTACCTGAACGGGTATATACACGGTACCCGATCGGGTATGTGTAATACTTCAGTTTCGAGGTATACTCGATCGATTAAGTAGTAAATTCTATAAGCATACCCGATCGAGTATATTCTTGTACCCGATCGAGTATGCCTAAAACCTCAGATCCGAGGTATACTTGATCGATTTCAGGTTTAATTCAGAAGAGATACCCGATCGGGTGTGTCGGTGCACCCGATCGGGTATAGACACTCGATCGTGGTCAAAATCTTCCCTGCATGTTCCTTTGTCTTCGGATCCGATTTGAAATTTCAACAAGATACCCGATCGAGTATAGGTCATACCCGACCGGGTATAGACCAAAAAATCAGGATCTTCCTTTTCTCTTGTGATTTTGCAACTTCCTTCCACTTTTGGGGTTCACCAACTGTCCTTTGAGTGATCAAGACCTGTTTGAGCTCAGAATAAACCTAATCTAAACAATTTACAAGTATTTAACAAACTAAACTATTACACCAAAAGTGTGTAATTTCCAAAGTAAAAATCAATCAAAACTAATTAAAACACAAACATACATATGGAAATTACAATTGTATCAATACATATCAAAATTATTTCTCAAAATGTAATTGAATAGTCTTATTTAATTATCGTCTAAGTAATTGTGTCATTTTACAATTGAAACCTTTAAGGATGTTTTTACTTAGATTGTTTTCAGTCCCAAACCAGATCAGACTAGATCAAATCATACCAGGACAGTTATAAAATATACAGAGATCAGACATTTACCAGATCAAACCAGACCAAAATAGACAAGACCAGATCAGACCAGAGTAGTCACCAGACTAGGAATTTTCAGTACATGTAAAAACAACTTGAGCAGAACAGAGGTAGTGTTTTGTTTTGGGAAGAAATACATTGAGGAGGAGGAGGAGGAAGAGTAAACTTGAGGCTCCAAAATTTTCTCAAATTTAACCCATATAACTTGACTCTCACTCAATTTGGAGTAAACTTGGGAATATCTCATTGTATTGTTAGGTTCTCCTAACCACTCCTAAATCATGTTCCTGTAAATATTGTTACCCTTTCATTTAATGTTTATTTGAGAACTAGTCAATTTATTGCAGGTGGGACATTGGAACCAAGAACCGATAAATCGAAACGGTTCGAATCGTTATGATCTGGTTTCATTTGGTTCCAATATTAACTAGTCATTTATTAAGAGTTCGATTCTTATTTTTTTAACAGTTTGGTTATCGATTCCTATAAAAAAAATATGTATCTAGAATTAGTAAATAATCGCTAAATAACAATTAAGTTTTTATCTATTACTCCCTCTGAGTCCAAATAAACTTCACACTTTGATTATATGTTTTTTAAGAAAGTGGATTTTTGTTTTTGACTTTCTCATCATACCCCTACAAAAAGTTGATAAAGTGTAGTTGGAAAGAGAAAGAAAGTCTGAAGTTTATTTGGGACCAGAGGGAGCACTTATTAGTATGTACTAGTATATTTTAATATTTATTTAGATATTAAATTCACGTACTGATTTAGTTTAGTTAATAGAGTGGAAAACTTGATAAGTGTAAGTGATTTCTCTTGTAATGAATGTCCTTTTTTGTTTTCCTTTAAAATTTTGTTTTAATTTGTTATCTACTTATGTTTGAACGTATTTTTATTTCTTATAATTTCAAACGTTGAATATCTTTGTGTGACGCATATTTAGTGGTGATTTGTTTGAGATTTTCAAAAACTTAGAAACCAATAAATGACTAGATTTGAACTGTTAAGGTGTGGTTTAATTCCATATCGGTTCTAATAATAATTTATATGAACCGAACCGATACTAAAAGTTGAGATTTTTAAATGATTCCACATGTTTTACATAAGACCGAACCGGTCTCTGGCCTACATTTTATTATTATTTACTATGTTTCCTCTATTGCATCCAGTTTACAATTGTGTACGTCTACACCAGATGCAACCATTCTTGAAGGCGGTTTAGCTATAAATGGATTTGGTGGTGTGCTCAAATTATCTCCTTCCCCTTCTAACATTTGAAGGACACTTCTCATGGAAGGACGATCAACCGGATTCCATTGACTACACCACAAACCCACAATGGCTAACTTCTTTGCAATTTTAGCATCATTCTCTTCTTCAATATCAAACCTTATATCTTCTCCTTGCTCTAACACATTATAAATCCATTCAGGGAAATATATTTGATCCTCTGCATGTGATTCAGTGTCAACACATTTCCTTCCACTCACCATCTCTAGTAACAACATTCCGAAACTATAAACGTCCGATTTATAAGAAACGTTCCCGAAGTTTCTTGAGAACACTTCGGGTGCCATATAGCCTATGGTGCCCCTAGCTGTTGTCATGGAGACCAGGCTTTGTTCCCTTGAATACAACTTAGCGAGGCCGAAATCAGTGATTTTGGGATTGAGATTGTCATCAAGAAGTACATTGTGTGGCTTGATGTCGAAATGTAGGATTCTTTCATCACAACCATGATGGAGATACTCAATCCCTTTAGCTATGCCAATAGCAATATGTTCCAAAGATTTCCAACCAAGAAAATGTTTCTTTGAGTCTGGTGAAGAAATGAACTTCTGGAGTGAATCATTTGGCAAGTAATCGTATACTACAGCCCATCTAAACCCGTCTGCACAAAAACCGATCAAGCGGACTATATTGGCGTGGTGAATTTTCACCAATGTCCCAACTTCATTAATGAATTCCTCTCCATTTGCTTTGGAATCATTGAGGACCTTAACAGCTACTTTAACGTTCTCAGACAGCTTCCCCATATAAACAGTTCCATGCGCTCCTTTTCCCAATTCGTACTCAAATTGATTTGTAATCCTCTCAAGATCAGCAAACAAGTATCTTGTGGGCTTAAAAGCTTTGTAATCATCCAGAAACTTCTTAACCTTGGCTTGATACTTCTTTTCAATTCTGTAAATTCTATATCTATATAAGACTAGAATAACAGCTCCTACTAAAGAGACAAAACCGAATAGTACACCTGCACACACAGAAACTCCATTTGTCAATTATTGTTTGGGAAATGTGATTCCCATAATGTGGGATATGACTCAACTAAGTACGTTAGCCAACCTGTAATCACCTTCTTTTCCATTGAACCTGTCAAAAGGTGAAAAAGATATCAGTTTTACTACGAATATGATTAAGTATTGCAATTAAAATTGACATGCAGGCAGTGGAAATTTACTCATAGCTTCATAGGTGATTCCTCTGTTACTATCACTCCATCCCGTTTTAAAGTTCCCATTATTCTTTTATGGATGTCCGAGCTAAGGTTTTCATTTTTATTTTAGAAAATAATTAACACTCTTAAATGACACGTTAATCATCAAACATTAAAAATAATACAACTATAACATCATATTTATCATCAATGAACAATGAGAATTTTAAGTCAGAATGTAGGTAGTAAGTTAGTAACTAATAAAAATAGAAGTACTCAAAAATAAAAATGGATATACATATACTCCCTTCGTATTTTTTTGTTTGCTATACTTTCCTTTACTAAAAGTGTTCTTTGAAACATTTTCTTTTTTTTTGTTAATTTCTATTATAAAAAATATTCAAATACTCTTACTTTTCATCTTCTCTTTCACACTTCTCCATCGTTTCTCTTATTTTTTCTATGTTATTCACTACTCTTAATTTATCTCACCATAGGTGAGAGCCTTTGCGGCATTGGGCTAATGTTATTGTTGTTTTATTCACTACTCTTAATGTTTAACCTTAAACTTTGTGAAAATGTAATGTAACAAAGGATAGGGAGCGAGTGCATATTAGGGTATATTTTTTTTACGAGTATAATAGTAATACTGAAAATAATTGAATGTGGTCAAAAGTCAAACATCACTGTGATACTCTCCTAACAACGAGGCCACAAGTTCGGAACTCATCTTAGTCAATGATATTGGCATTTAGCGAACATATACTATACTTTGTGAGAAGGTACAGTAAAAAGTTGAATGTGGTTAGAAGACCTATTTGTGTAACAAAAGATAAAATAAGAGAGGTATTTCTGCCGGGACGATCTTATGATCGAGCTGAGGGTGATATGCATGGATGAACACATCCATCTTAGGTGAAAGAGGCCTTCATAGTAGGGTTGAGCATGAGATGGTACGGGATGACTATCTTAAAGAACTAGACCCGTCCCAAATTACGATTCTTTTAAAAATTTAGGTACTGGTACCGTCCCAAATATATCGAGCACATGTCCTATTCCATGCCAACTTCCTATACGGTTCGGGACGGTTCGTCGTTACCATTCAATTCTTAAATAATGTATCAATAAAATAACATATAAACTACAAATTAAATTAATATTTAGACGCTCAACTTTAAAAGTTCTATTTTTCTAAAGTGAAACATACATGGAACAAATTTACACTAAGAATATTCATCATAATTAACTACACAATAGTTCAAGGTTCTATATATGTAGTAATTATTAATTATGTTGGCCAAGTGAATGTATGCAAAAGCAAAACTAAGGGTGCAAATGAGCCGAGCCGCTCGATCAAAGCTCGAATCGAGTTCAGTCAAACTCGAGCTCGAGCCGGCTCAGTAAGCAGTCGAGCCATAACCGAGCCGACTAACTTTAGGCTTGTGAGCCTAGTTTTATATGTGTGTATATTTATATTAATATATATAGGGAAAAGGTGCAAATAAGCCCTCGAACTAACCGAAAAAGTGCAATTACCCCTTTATAGGAGGCTCTGTCCGGCCGTCGCCATTTGAGGCGGTTACCGGTGTAATTTTTTAATGAAATTTTTTGAGCATCTTCTTCACTAAGTTTAGTTTACCCATACCAAATTTCAGCTAAAAATTCAATCGTGAAGGCAGTCAAATAAATGTTTGAAGATAACTGCGCAGTTAAACAGTGCAGTACATTTTAGAAAATCATTTGACAGCCTTCCCGGTTGAATTTTTACCTGAAATTTGGTATGGGTAAACTAGACTTAATGAAGAATATTATAAAAAATTCATCAAAAAAAAATCACCGGAAACTGCCCCAAATGGTGACGACCAGACAGAGCCTCCTGTAAAAGGGGTGATTTGCACTTTTTCGGTTAGTTCGAGGGCTTATTTGCACCTTTTCCTATATATATAATATATTAATGTACGATATAAATTTATATATAATATATGTTGAGATTTAGTCCCGTAGATCCGAAAGTGCAACACATACTTTGGATATATCAGGAAATGGACAATAATTCGGTATGTAAAAGAAAATATAAAAGATTGATAATCGAATGCTCAAAAACCCACTTGTATTAATTGACCTGTTTGATTACAAGGAAATTACCCGAATGGTACGTCGGATTGATGCTTAATACAAGAAACAAGAGTAGTAATGCTATTCTAGGGCTTGAGTCTTAAAAAGCTAACCCTTACAATGATATTAAACCTTCTATTGATACTAATGGAGAGTATGAGATGCTTTAAGCTGATTGGCCGATGTTCCACCGACTTGATCACCCATGCATCCACTTGATGACGTCACAATCCGGCATTAATTGCACCTGGCCACCTGCTGGTTGTCCGTTGCCCGAATGGGATAATGGGCCCTGTAAAACATCGTAGATTTGGCCGTTCGGTATGTCCGTTTTGGGCCAGCCTTTACTTGGCCCGAACCTCGTTCGGCATGAATATCTCACTGGACCTACTTACCATAGAGTAGTGGACTCGTTGTTTGGACTGGATATCCTGGGCCTTTAATCCGGGTATTGGGCCTCCGGGTCAATATCCCAACACAAGTCCCCCACTTCCGATGTCTCGAATGACAGTGAGTGCATTAGGAAGAAAGCACCAATGTTGCAACTGCCGAATGGCGATCGGGGTACAGAAGTGGTCAGTTCCTCATACTGTGATTTGATGGCTGTCGTTTTAGTTTCCCCATATTCGTCATGATTGTTGATTTTTGCTCTTCCATGTGACACGTATTATTTCAAATAGTCCCAGTGACGTGTCTCTATTGATTGGTCTTTGATACGGCATCTGTAAGGCTATAAATTAGCCTTTAATTCCTCAAATCTGGGTTTCAAATTTTCAATCTTATTCGTGCTTTAACTCTGCCTCTTCTTCTCAAATCATTCAAGTTTTTCGTGGCCAGGTACTTCTCATTCCTTTGAATCTTTCTCTCCTTTGGTTCGATCGTTATGAATTCTCGACTGTGTTCCGATTCGGAAATGGCTTCCCAAGGGGAAGACCGTGATGTGGAGATTGTAACCGTCCCTTTTGACAAGGGCTCCAAGGTGGCGACGACGGAGATTAGGGCGGAGACGGATGATTCCTCCGGCAGTTCTTCTTCCTCCAGTGAAGATTCCGATGATACCAAGTCTGAAGATGAGCTGACTTCCATGGCGGCCGGACGTCCCAACGATTTTCCCCGTCATACGCTTGACCTAAGATTGATTAGGGAGAGGCGGCAAAAACTGACTTCTCATAATAGGACCGAAATTCCGGCCCTAATCCCAGATCCAGTGGACTTCCGATTGCGAGCTGGGCTTCACCCAATGCGCCATACCCCTGGGATGGTTGTAGTCCATTTTGATTCAATTAGGGCCGGGCTTAGGTTTCCGCTACATTCTTTTTTCGTTTCATTTTTTAATATCTACGAAATTGTACCGGCCCAAATCATGTCGAACTCCTACCGGGCAATGGCGGGCTTTATTTGCCGTTGTAAAGATGCCGGTGCTCGGCCGACCCTAGATTTATTTCACCAATTTCTTAAGGTAGCCCCTCAACAAACACATGGTTATTTGGCTACTAGTGCCCGAGCGGGACATATCCTGTTTAAGGGCAATCTGACTTCAATCAAGGGGTGGAAAGATCGATTCTTCTTTGTGTCTGTCCCGGACGGCCTGATCCCCCGCAAATGGAATGCCTTCCCCCGCAAATCTCCTGATCCAGTCCCTATTGAGGAAATTTACAAGGATGTGCTCGCTGTGGAGAAAGACAAATGCGTAGATATCATGAGTTACCTGACTCCCGATCGGCTTATCGAAGCCGGGATAGGTACTGCCTGTTCTCTTGGGTTTACTTATTTTGAGAAATCAAGTGCCATGGTCCGGGCGGTCCTTCCCGTGCGAGAAACGTTCTCTTCTTTTTTGTTTCCCACGTGATAAGGCCGCTCGATACTAACATTTTCCTTTGTTATTTTTTAGCTCCAAATCCAGACGCACCTATGGACAATAGTAGAGTTCTTGCAGCTGGTGGGGTCGGCAAACGGAAGAAAGCCAGGAAGAACCCCCAACCCACTCCTTCCACTATTACCGCTCAGGATGCCGGGTCTTCTCAACCCGTTCAAGAGCCACAGCCACTGCAACAGGTCCATCAGGACCAATTTGATGCCATGCTGGTCGACGATCGGTTCAGTTTTGATCAGATGCATCAATTCCCTGAGCACTTCCAGGCTGCTCAGGAGACTGGTCAGGGTACGGGTGATATGCATACCGTCCATCTATCTGGCCAGGTCGACCGGATCTCACTGGCGGATCCGGTTCATGAAGTTGTAGAGAAAGGTGGATGCTCGGCAAGTCAGATCCGGTCTACCTCCGCTTTTTTCAACAATTTCACTGTTCCCAAACTGTCGGTCGAGCAATCTGAGGAATGCTTGGCCTTAGCAGCCCTGAAGGTACTCTACTTTTCACCATTGCAATAACTTCTTAAATATGTTAATCTTTGCTCTCGAACTTATTACCTTACTTCTCGAACGACATTCTATAGGTTGGGCTCTACAGGCTGCAACTGAAGGATGCCCGACTGGCCAAAGAGCGGGATCTGATTGTTGCCCAAACTTCTGCTGAACAGAATGCCGCTGCTGCCCTTGCACAGCTGGAAGCCGAACGGAAGTCCTTTGCCGAGGAGAGGCAAAAGTTTGAGAGCGAAGTGGGGGGGCTCCGGGTTCAGTTGGCCACTGCCCAAGCTAAAGTTTCTGCAGTTGAAGCTGTTAATCCCATAATACTTAACAAACAACAAACCATAGCAGTTATAGAAGAAGCAGATAGAAAGATATGTAGATATTATACGAATCTGGTATACCGTGTAAGCTGGCCGCTGCTCTCCCTGGAGAAGGAGAGCAGCGGCAACCCTCTCTCTATCTTGACGCCTCTGAACTCT